AGGACACCGAGACTTGGTGCCTGCTAATTCTGGAGGGATGGTGAATACAGCTTTCTCCCCTGCTTGCATTGAGCTAACAGCCATACTGAAGCCTTGCATTACATTCTCTATAAGCAGTATTTAGTTTTATTTCATCGAAGTGTAACTCATTTTTGAGAAAAGTATGGTTACAGTGGTACAAACACCCAATGAGCCAGGTTTTTTAAACACACACACACATGAAAGATGAGCCATGTAATCTTGTTATCTACATTCTAGTAGAATCTTTAATGGCTTGAAACAAAAATGTCAGACCCCAAATCACTAAAGTCACTTTTTCATTAAAAGATTCAGTCCTTAACACTTGATAGAAATCCCACTGCATCATATAGGTCTGTTGAAGTTTACGCAATGCAGAAATCAACAACGCCATATATATAAACACTTAATAGATGAGTGGATGATCTGGAAGATCAGTAAAACTACATACATGAGAACTTCATGATGCATTAAGAAAATGATAAATAAGTTAGGTGAAACGATTTGAATATTGCACAAAATAAAAGGGGAACAATTATGCTTGGTCCACGTGCTACTAATGCATTTTCTGTATTACCTTTTTGGGAGTAACTGTTTGAGTAAACTACTGAAAATCATTTGGTTTAGTGGTGATGGGTGTAGAAACCCTGGGATCCATGGTTAATGGCATGATCACAAGGTTTCCAACCATTACAATATCTAAGAAGATTTAACAACAGAGGTTGGTTAAACAGTAAGTACCATAAACATTGGAGAGTTCTTAACTCATATCACTTGGTAACCTCCCTGTAAATTTTCTTTGGTTCTGATCAAGTGGTGTGCATTATGGATTTATTGACTCGGTAAGAACTAAAAAGTAATTTCAGGGTATTGACTATTGAGTATGGTACAGTTATACCTTGTCCTAATATAAAAGTCAGAGGCACGCCATCTTCTATGGTGGATGTAAACAAAGTACCATCAAGTCTTTTTCCTGTAAAGTGGACTGGAAGCAACCAAACATACTCATGATTCATCAAAGGAGCAGTAGAAAGGAAGATCAATAGCATGACTGTGTACTGGAAAATAAACCAGGGGCTTATACAGTACAAACCATCAACAGAGTTATCTGCAGGGATAACTGCTACAAACAATACGAATAACATTGGTGAAATCTTCCCCGACTAGGATTAACTAGCTATATCTCGTTCAACATCAGCGAGCTTAGAATTGCACATTTTCAAAATTTCTATTGTACTGCTTCGGAAATGAGAACCATCCTACAGGATTAGAGTGGAAATCTGGAATGCTGAAATTTTCCATACCTATGCCGGATTTCAACCATTTCCTAGGAGCCGGTCAGGTGTCAGGACGGAGATTATGAGACGCATTGGAGAGGTTTCGCAGCAACCGAGAGACGTACTAAGCGAGTTTAGGGTTTGACCTTGGAGGCACGAGTATGCGTCGCCGGCTCGCTCCCCGCCCGGGATTCGACCTCCACGGCCGGATCTACTCCGCTGCCTCCTTCGATTCGCTCTCTGCATTGCCTCCGCAAAGTCCGGACGCCGCTGAGAGCCGCCTGCGCCTGCTGCAGGACTGTCACTGATGATCGGTGCCGCCGCCGTGGTTGCAAGGGGCAGAGATTGTCGGAAAAAAATTCTCTGCGGCAGCAGTGCCGCACCACGCCTCCTGTACAACACCGCGTACACACCTGACGCGTGTCCCATCACATTAGTGCAGCCAAGCGTTTTCCTTGAGCCAAGCCGATGTCTTCCTCAGCTCGCGCGTTGGAACGGACACCAAGCCGCAGTTAGCGACTGCACATGGAGTTGAGCCGTTGTTTCATTAGAAGACAGAACAGATAGTAAATCTGCCGCTAACCAAGAACAGATGAATAATATATACTCCCTCCGTCCCTACATATTTAACGCCGTTAACTTTTTTAAATATATTTGACCGTTCGTCTTATTAAAAAACTTTTGAGAAACATGCAAAACTATATGTATACATAAAAGTATATTTAACAATGAATCAAATGATATGAAAGGAATTAATAATTATTTATTTTTTTTAATAAGAAGAACGGTCAAACATGTTTAAAAACGTCAATGGCATCAAACATTTAGGGACGGAGGAAGTAGATTGTAAAACGCAACCGTATGGCTACAACCAGGGTTAGAAATTCCGGAATGAATTTTAGTCATTTCAGACCCTTGATACAATATTATTTCGGCCGAATTTTTTTAATTTTTTTATTCTTTTGTGAATTTGGTAATATTTTGTTTAAATTTAACCAATATTTGATCAAAATTTTGAAAATTTCGGACTGAAATTTTGGTATATCAACGACGTCTGATAGAATCGGCCAAACCGAAAAATTAAACCCGGTCTACAACACCATGTTCATAAGTCACAACAAACACCATGTTATTGAAGCATATAAATCCGTTTATATTTTGCAGAAGCAAAAAGATAACCAAAACTCTTGAGGAGTAGTACAAGCTAATTAGCAATGTCGGCCATATCCCCAAACCATCAAGTTTCAAGACTTTAAGAAGGGTCGCAATGCAATAGGTTCCTATCTAAAGTTGTGAACTGGACAAATTAAACCATAAATCTCTCCAGCAATCAGCTTTATGTACTCCTGAACAGCGGCTCCCAAATCCCAATCGGCTTTAGTATTTCGGCACAGCGGCTCGGCTCTAAAGAAACGGCTGCTTGGCTACAGCGGGAGATGGACACGCGTCAGGTGTCTACGCAGTGTTGCACAGGAGGCGTGGTGCGGCACTGCCGCAGAGAATTTTTTTCCGACATTGTCGTGCGGTCATGCCCCCGACATCCACCATTAAAATGAATCCAACGTCCTGAATTTTTCTGTGTCACTCTCGTCCCTCTTTATCCCCCTCATTTTCTATATCAATACTAATACCAATACTCTCACCGTTTGGTATTATAAGTCTTTTAATTTTCTTAAGTCAAATTTTTTTAAGCTTGATCAAATTTTTAGAAAAATACATAACATTTTTAATAGAAAAATAAACATATTATCAAATATATTCAACGTTAGACTTAATTAAACTAATCTAGTGTTGTAGATGTTGCTAATTTTTTTCTATGAATTTAGTCAAACTTAAATAACTTTAACTAAAAAAAATTTCAAACGACTTATAATATAAAATGGAGGGAGGACTTCAATATTATTATGCGTTCGACTAAGTAAGAAAGAGAGAAAATTTCCATTGTTCTTGTTTTCTTAAAAGAACTAGGTGATTCCCCGCGCTTTGCTGCGGGAATTACTAAGTAATTTCTTATATATATATATATATATATATATATATATATATATATATATATATATATATATATATATATATATATATATTTCAACAATCGAGCATAGGGTAAGTATGATGTTAATTATTAACAACAAATAAAACTGATTTGTCAATCCATATTTGAAGAGAAACAAATTTAATAGACTTTGTAGAGGATTATAGATAATATTTATGTTGTTGACCAAGATTTGTATCACAATAAGCGGAAGAGAAGGAAAAAAGAAATAAAAAGCTAGGATTTATTAGTAGTAAGCATGAAACAAACTAAATAATATCTTTGCTTTGATATGGAATATATGAATGAATATACGTTGAGTATTATAAAAAATGATGGATATATTTGTTGAAATATTATGGAAATGATGAGAGAGGTTGATTGGATCTATTTGCATTTTGATTTGTAGGATTAAATAAATTATGTATGATGCATGTTTGCATGAGCTATTTGATAAGTAGTTATTGCTAGTGGATGATGAGGTAGCATGTTTGCATGTTGAGTTTTAGACTTAAGTAGGATTTAACTTCATAGAAAGCATAGATAGAAAAGTTGCTTTAAAAAGCATATTAGTCCATTTTTAATTTAAAATAACTAATAATTAATTAATTAATACACTAATGGCTTACTGCGTTTTGCGTATCACTCTTCTTCTTCACTTTTCTCTTCTACTTAAACACACTCTAAAAGCTGCTTAGTAAGCTACACGTTCATGACACAACAATACAAAGCTTAGAAGCATGGGCGGATCTAGCATGAGTGTTCCTATGGAAAAGAGGAGAGATGGGAGGGGAAAGAAGGAATAAGAGTAGAGGGAGCCAAAAGATGAAGAAAAAGATGAGCACTTCTAGTTTGATGCTACGTTCCTCCCTGTTTAGAAGCATGTAGTTTTAGGTGATTTCAAAATTAAAAATTTTTAGATGAATGAAATGTAGCAAATAATTAATAATGTCTATGTTTCCAAACTTCTGATGTTGGTTAGTTCAATGTCAAATAGAGAAAAAACAGAGGGAGAAATAAGGTAGAAACAAATGAATCTATATATAAGGACGGAACGTAATTTTAAGCGGTTGTAGACCGAGCTGATTTTTGCAGTTGTGTACCTTTTTACTCTTTTCAACTATACGCACCTTGTGCCTCGCAGCAGTAGAACCCCTTCATTTCCAGCCAATCAAACCGTTCCCCAGGCGCCTCTTGAACGGTCCACTTCGCAAAGCCAGGAGAGCCACGACCACGACCACGGCCATGCTCGCTCCCAAAACTCTCTAATCGACTGGTATCTCCTCTCCACACGAACAAGTCCTCGTCAGGCTTGCCTAGGTCTGACAACTTCATGGCGCCGAAGTCCTTCTTTCTTCTCCGTCGACGGCAACGGAGACTCCTCTCCATCGGCAGGAAATTAACGTGGCACGCTAGCTGCTAACACCCTAAAGGCTAAGTAAGGGAAGAAAAATTAAGGGGCCGGGTATCTGCGCTGTTATATCGATCGGCTATTAAACAGAGGGACTGTTTAGTTCACACCAAACTTCCTCCCAACTCCCAACTTCACGCCATGGTAACGCTGTTTTGTTGCACGAAACTTGCGATGAAATTGCGGGCAAGTGAATGATATGATAATGATATCCACCCAAACATCAACGCGTTGGTGGTCGTGCTTTTCTGCTCGATCGACCACATAACGTATGAAAACAACCATATATGTCAAACGACGATGACGCGACTTCGATGACCACATGCATTTCGGTTTTTGCAAGTTTGCAGATGCACGTCGATCTGGGGAAACTATTTTGCCACGCACGTCTGGGGAAACTATTTTTTGCGACTTCGACTCCCTGCACGTCTGCGCGCTTTCTTTAATTCGTGCCACCACTATTTCGCTAGATTTGCCAACCCGTGGCGGTGGCGTCGTTGGAAGCTTCGGTGGAGGCAACGTTGGACGCCATCAGCGGAGATCAATGGCGGGCGCGGCTGCAGCCGTTCACCATCTTCCGCGTCCCCGCCTACGTCCGCGACGGCAACCGCACCGCGTACGAGCCGCGCCTGGTATCCATCGGCCCCTACCACCACGGCGGCGCCGCGCTCCGCGCCATGGAGGACCACAAGTGGCGCTACCTCCACGACCTGCTATCCCGCCGCGCTGGCGACGGCGCCGCTGCCGTGGTCACCGCGTCCGCCTTGGTCGCGGAAATGCGGACCCTCGAGCCCCGGGCGCGCGCGTGCTACAGCGAGCGCCCCGTGGGCATGGACTCCTCCGACGACTTCGTCCGGATGCTCCTCCTCGACGGCTTCTTCATCCTCGAGTTCTTCTTCAAGTGGCACACCAAGGAGGCCGACTCGCTCTGCGACGTCGGCTGGGGCCTCACGCTCGTCGCCGCCGACCTGCTCTTGATGGAGAACCAGATCCCGTTCTTCGTCCTCGAGAGGCTCTACGAAGCCGTCGCCGGCATGCAGCCCGACAAGGAGTCCCTCTTCAACCTCCTCATCGAGTACATCAGCGACGAGGAGCCCATCAGGCGGCCGTCCGGTGACTGGGACGTCCACCACCTCCTCCACCTGTACTACGAGTGCTTCGTTCCCAAGCGGCCACGGCCGCGGCTGCCCGAGTCGGCCCGGAAGGCACCGGCGGCGCCGACGCGGACGATTCTGCGTGCCAGCGAACTGCGGGAGGCGGGTGTCACCCTCGTGCGGCGGAGCGCGGCGCGGGACAGGTTCGACGTGACGTTCGACCGCCGCAGGGGCGTCATGGAGATCCCGGCCATAGAGAGATCGACGACATGAAGCGACCGCTCCTCGTCAACCTCATGGCGTTCGAGCAGACGCAGGCGGGCGAGGAGCCGCGCCTCCTCACCAGCTACGTGGCGCTGATGGGCCAGCTCATCGTGACGGCGCGCGACGTCGAGCTGCTCCGCCGGCGCGGCGTCCTGGAGAGCCTGCTGGCCGACGACGAGGAGGCGGCCCGGTTCTTCAGCCGCCTCGGCGAGGGCGCCGCCATGGACTTCAGCCGCCAGGCTTTCGCCGGGCTGTACGAGGACGTGCGCGGGTACTGTGGCTCGTGGTGGCACCGCAACAGGGCGGCGCTCCGGCGTGACTACTTCGGCAGCCCGTGGTCGGCCATCTCCGTCGTAGTCGCGGCGATCGTCGTCTTCCTCGCCGCCACGCAGACTTACTTCACCGTGTTTCCCGCCAAATAACGAGAGCGTAATCTTCAAGTGTAATGACTTCGTAATCCAATCCTTCACTACTTGGGATAGACTATTGATCAGTCGACTAAAAAAAAAATACAAATCGTTAGTCCATCTTGTGCAAAATCCGATCCCCAGCCGAAAGGCCAGGAATGATGCAGAAACAGAGCAAACATCTATCTTCCTTAGCCTGTGGACCTATGATCCATGTTAACGGATTTTGGATCTGCATTTTTTGGACCGGTCTGTATGTGTTCCTTTTGAAAGTTTCTTTTGGGCTATTATTTATTGATTTGGGCTAAGTTTGTTCTGTACATTTTTGGGCTGTTCGTGCGGGCCTCTGCCTTCTGTAGAGCCATGGCCACATCCAAATGAAAGGGGATTTTAGATTAAACAAGCACCATGCACGGATGAACCAATTTTCGAAAAGGGATTAGCTATACATTTATGTAAATATTAGTACAATCATCATGCAATTATATTGTAACTTATAAGTAACTATAGTGTAACTTGCACGTAACTTTCAAAATTCTCTTGGTGACATACTAATTCTGTGAAAATGGAGGTAATAGTACCGAATTTCCTCACATGTGCATGGGCTATGATTTTTTTTCTACCTCCCTTGCATAAATTAAATCAAACCGTACGGTTCAAAATTGCATTATAGTTACATGGTAGTACATACAAATTACAATGTAATTATATTACGATTGTACTATATTTTCATTTGTCAAATTTTAGAAAAAAAAATTATTGACAAATATATAGCAAAATCGTTTGGAAAATTGTAAAAACCATATCATAAGTGACTTAAAGTTTGGCATTCCTCCCCATAAATCACTCTGTTATGTGACAGGTATAAAATTTTAAGGTGGGGATCTAAACAACCCCTAAGAGTCCATGCGATTTTGTATGGATATGATGAATATCCAGATATATTAATTAGCGCTTGACAAAGTCCATATATAAAGTCCATTGTTGTCCCTCGTGTTTTTGCCCAGGGAGCCAGGCGGGTGTCAAACTGTCAATGATTCAATGGTCATTGCTCGTGTATTGACATATAATGGCAGCTGGTCATGTATATTATATTCACGTATAGACTGCTAATGGCAGGAGAGTCTACATATATACCGATGTCGGCTGCCATGGCTGCACGCAGCCGAGCTCAAATTAACGTGTCTGACCGTACTTGGAGGCGGTCAAAAACCTGCCGCTGGCTGCTTATACTCCACGTTATTCCGGCTACCGGCACTCCAGTCGTTAGCACTTCTTTAATATCGAAGCTGACTTAAATCATGGTGTATACTCCCTCTTGTTTGATACTAGCACTTATTGTTTTGAACAAGAGCACTACTATACGTGAGAGCATGATCTCCAAAAACTAACTTTAACCATTATTTTTTATTATAATATGTATAAAAGTATTAATAAATATATGAATTTATTAAAATACTTTTTAAAACTAATCAATACATGCATGTAGTCACTATATTTAAAAGACAAATGTTTTAAAAATGATTCATAATGAAAGATTCAAAAGTTTGAGCTCAACTTTATCTAAAACGACAAGTATTATCAATCCGGAGGGAGTATAAGCGATCTATAGAAGTCACCGTATTAGATTTATGTTTAGATGGAGCAAGAAAATATAAGAGAAGAAAAAACGGACTATACATTTATAAGTCAACTACAACATTAATTTTAATAAATTATATGAGAGAGAGGTAGTATTAATGGATTAGTATATATCTATAACTAACTAACTATTGCATGTCAGAACTATTAGATTAGTGATACATAAATGATGGGGACATATCCATTGAAAACCATCGTGAGAACCCATAAAAACCGGGACTATATGTTTTGTAAATTCACGAAAACATTTATATGTATGAAATAATTCTCACCAAATTTGAAGTTCAAACTCAATTTTAATTATTTGGGAGTTAAAAAAGTATTTCGGGTGAATAGTAACCATAACTATTCACTTCTCTGTCAATTGAAGTTTGAGTTTAGACTTAACATCTAGTGCGAATATATCTTATGCCTATACTTATCTCTAGAATTTTTTTTACTGAATTTAGAGAGCTTATATGTATATTTTTTATGGGTTTACACTTATTTGACGTTTTCACTAGTTTTCACTTGAGATTTGATGTGAATATTAAAAAGAAAAAAGACAAGTGATATGTCAGTATTTAGTGAGTCCTAGTAGTTAGGGCCTGTTTAGTTCACAAATTTTTTTTCCTAAAAACATCACCTCGAATGTTTAAACATATGCATGGAGTATTAAATATGGACAAAAAGAAAAACTAATTGCACAGTCCGACTATAAATCGCGAGACGAATCTTTTGAGCCTAATTAGTCCATGATTAGCTATAAGTGCTATAGTAACCCACATGTTCTAATGATGGATTAATTAGGCTTAAAAGATTCGTCTCGTGGTTTCCAGGCGATTTATAAAGTTAGTTTTCTTATTCGTGTCCGAAAACCCCTTCCGACATCCGGTCAAATGTCCGATATGACACCCAAAAATTTTTTTATCCCCAACTAAACATGCCCTTAGCTATACCATTGACCTTCCTCATGGCTCTCACACATGCACACATATTAATTGCCATCAGATGACAAATCACGCGCTAAGATTTATTGAGCCCCAAAATGGGTAATAATAACAAGAAGGGACAAATTTTACGATGGTCTTAAGTTAATTCTACTCCTACTTATAAGTGGAATTAATTTGTATCTTTTATTTTGCTCTTATTCAGCAAATCATTTTTATCTATACTAGTTATCATCTCAACTACGGGTAGTATGATATTTCTTTTATTAGAACTCATAAGCCATGCATAATGTTATCGATATATGTAATATATAGTACTAATAGAGAGCCTATAAAAATACTCCCTCCATCCAACAATATAACAAATATGAGCATGTTCATATTCATAATAGAGAGCAATAATGTTTTTTTAGTTATAAATGTCCAAGTTTTGTGATTAAATTGATATTAAACCTTTAGTTTTGTGATAACTTTGTTTCTAAATCTGTAGTTTTGTGATATTTTATCTTAAATATATAGTTCTATGATAAAATTAGTGTTAAATCTATATTTTTGTGATACATCATGTTAAATCTATAATTTTCTAATAATTTAACTAAAATATATGTAGTTTTGTGAAATTTACTTAAAATAAAAATGTTTGGCATGGTGACTAGCAGCCCACACACTGCCACTGCATAGGTTACGAGTTCGAGTACTCAGCCTTTTTACATGCATGCGATTTTTTTTCTCTGACTTGTGCCTACACGAATCTTGAGGATATGGGACAGTCACGAATTTATAAGTTTGGGTGTGGGGGTTAGAGGGGGAGGGGGAGAAAACTGTCGAAAGACTTTTAAGAGTTCTATATGAGAAGGGAGTAGCTATATTTATGGGGGTTATATTTTTTATTAACAAATAGTTAAATTATTTTTACACTATAATTATATTCACTTATACATTGTAATTACACAGTACTTACTTATGTAACTTTGATATATTTACATTGTAATTTTCAAATCTTACATGTAAATTTTAAATTTTACATTGTAATTTTTCTCATCTCTAGATCTAAACCATAATCACATTGGGCAAAACGCATAGTCGAGTCACATCTGCACGGGCAAAACAAGCTAGCACTAATCTCAAGCAGATCAAACACCCTAGAAATCTTTTTTTTTTGTTGGAACTTAACACCCTAGAAATCTGACTGCAATCCAGAAGAAAATGCGTCGACACAATTTTAGCAGTTCCGGTATAATTAAGTTGTCCTCGGCGGATTGACAGGTGGAAAAGGCTGACTTCAAGTTTTTGAAAAGAAAAATCGTATGCAGTTTGAATTTTGCCAGGAAATGGTCGGAAGAAATAATAAAAACTAGTGTTGGTTCCACGCCTCTACCACTCTATAAATACACGAGCTGATCACGGACACAGCAGAAAACATCACCAAGCACCTGGCAATCACTCAACAAACAACAAATCCAAGTGTACGTACGTACGTACACCGTGCACGGTGCACATTAGAGCGCTTAATTAATTAGCTTCACCGATGGAGAAGAGCAGCGAGCTATGGTTGCTATGGGCGGTTTTCTCCGCCTCTCTCGTCTTCCTCTACCTCACCATCCGACGACGCTCCGGTGCCGGCGCCGGCGGCAAACCACCCTTGCCGCCGGGGCCAACGCCTCTCCCGCTCATCGGCAACCTGCTCGACCTCCGCGGCGGCGTCATCCACGACAAGCTCGCCGCCCTCGCGCGCGTCTACGGGCCGGTCATGATGATCAAGCTGGGCCTCAACGACGCCGTGATCATCTCCTCCAGGGACGCCGCGAGGGAGGCGTTCACGCGGTACGACCGCCACCTCGCGGCGCGCGCCATCCCGGACACGTTCCGCGCCAACGGCTTCCACGAGCGGTCCGCGGTGTTCCTCCCGAGCTCCGACGAGCGGTGGAAGGCGCTGCGCGGCATCCAGGGCACGCACATCTTCACCCCGCGCGGCCTCGCCGCGGTGCGCCCCGTCCGCGAGCGGAAGGTGCGCGACATCATCGCCTACTTCCGCGACCACGCCGGCGAGGAGCTCGTCATCCGCCAGGCCATCCACACCGGCGTGCTCAACCTCGTGTCCAGCTCCTTCTTCTCCATGGACATCGCCGGCATGGGCTCCGAGACCGCGCGCGAGCTCCGGGAGCACGTCGACGAGATCATGACGGTGTTCGCGCAGCCCAACGTCTCCGACTACTTCCCGTTCCTCCGCCGCCTCGACCTCCAGGGCCTGCGCCGCTCGACCAAGCGGCGCTTCGATCGGATCTTCTCCATCCTGGACGACATCGTCGAGCGCCGCCTGGTGGATCGCGGCGAACGAGGAGGAGAAGGCGGAGCCAGCTCGAACAGCAGCAAGAGCAAGCACCAGTACGACGGCGGCGACTTCCTCGACGCGCTCCTCGAGCTCATGGTCACCGGCAAGATGGAGCGGGACGACGTGACGGCGATGCTGTTCGAGGCGTTCGTGGCCGGCGGCGACACGGTGGCCTTCACCCTGGAGTGGGTGATGGCCGACCTGCTCCGCAACCCGCCCGTGATGGCCAAGCTCCGCGCGGAGCTCGACGACGTCCTCGGCGGCAAGGACCAATCCGCCATCGAGGAGCACGACGCGGGGAGGCTCCCCTACCTGCAGGCGGTGCTCAAGGAGTCGATGCGGCTGCACTCGGTGGGGCCCCTGCTGCACCACTTCGCGGCGGAGGACGGCGTGGTGGTGGGCGGGTACGCGGTGCCCCGGGGCGCCACCGTGCTGTTCAACACGCGCGCCATCATGCGCGACCCGGCGGCGTGGGAGAGGCCCGAGGAGTTCGCGCCGGAGAGGTTCCTGGCGAGGGAGGGGAAGGCGCCGGTGGACTTCCGCGGGAAGGAGGCCGACTTCATCCCGTTCGGGTCCGGGCGGAGGCTGTGCCCCGGGATTCCGCTGGCGGAGCGCGTCATGCCCTACATACTGGCGCTGATGCTGCGCGAGTTCGAGTGGCGGCTCCCCGACGGCGTGTCGCCGGAGGAGCTGGACGTCAGCGAGAAGTTCATGTCCGTCAACGTGCTCGCCGTCCCTCTCAAGGCCGTGCCTGTCAAGGTGATCAACTGAGACTAGGGCTAGTTGAGCTAGTTGTGTTGCTCGATCTGTTATGTGTATTGGATTATATAGTTTGTGCGTGTGCCACGTATAGTAGCTACAGTATTATTCCTAGTTGGTTTCGTGTAATAAGCTACTTAAATCAGGACTCTCACAGTCCTAGATATTTGTTATTCCATTATTCATATAGTCACCACAGCCCCATAGGCCATAATATACGTCTAGCATGCATCTATGATATGATTATTTTTTCGAGGGCCTATCTGTTGATCCTACGATAGATTTATAGTTTCAAATCTTATAAAATTACCTGTTGATTATTCATTCGAAAGACATTTTGGTTGTCTTTTCCTCTGATACTCCAACTTGTAAACATCATATAGCCGGTCAGTTAATCTTTTTGCAACAGTGCGGAGTTTTTCTTTTTTTCCTTTTTCGAGCAAAATGGAAAACTGTCACACGTACGCCAATCTCAATTCTCAGACTCTGACATGCAATCACCGAGCAAAGCCCAATATATAATACGTTGGGAATATACATACGGACCATATAGTATATATGTTGATTGTTGAGCATGAGAGACCCTCTATCTCGTCCCATACGTCTCTGACCGCCGTACCCAGCCGTCGCTTGCACGCGTCCACGTACTTTGTCAACAAATCGAGGAGTATGGCTGAAAATCTAGCCCGGTTTGACGCCATGAAGAGATCCATACATGGAAAAGTAGGTTGGCATACGTACGTACGTACGACCGATGGATGGATCAGCAATGCTGTGAAGAGAAAAACGGCCAAAAAGCTATTTGCACGTGCAGTACCCGCCTTTTAACAGAAAAACTACTGGTCGATATCGATGCGAGCTCTCTAAAAAAAAATGGGCTCCCGAGAAAAGTTTCAATTGACGTTTTCAAGTCAGCGCAAGAACATCGACGACGACGACAGTGCGGCTTTGATTTGCGGGGTTCACACACGAGTAATTGCAGCCTTGCTTTCTCGAAAAAAATAATTGTTTAGTTCCTTCAAACTTTCAACTTTTCCGTCACATTAAATATTTGGACACATCACACATGTATGGAGCGTTAAATATGGACGGAAAAAAATCAATTGCACAGTTTGCATGTAAATTGCGAGACGAATCTTTTGAGCCTAATTACGCCATGATTTGACAATGTGGTGCTACAGCAAATATTTGCTAATGACGAATTAATTAGGCTTAATAAATTCGTCTCGCAGTTTACTGGCGGAATCTGTAATTTGTTTTCTTATTAGTCTACGTTTAATCTCTACTACTTAAAAAATTCGTAGTGGTGGTCTTGATTCCTGACATAGCAGACGCATCTGACAGACACACGTAATCTCAACCATCCGATTGCCATATCCAACGGCGTCAATCTTCTCCCCATCACGCGCTCGCTCCTCTCTTGAATCGATCTCCTCCCCACGCCCACTCCTCCTCCTCCCACGCCGCGTCCTTCGCCCTCCTCCCTGGGCGACGCTCGCCCCGCCGCCGCATCGCCTCCTCACCAGCCACGCCCGCCGGCCTCCTCCGCGATCGCCGCCGCCCTCTCCAACGCGCCTCCACCTCGCATCGGATCGATCATCCACCTTCGCCCTCCTCCCTGCGTCGCCTCCTCGCCTCCTCACCTTCACACCTCGCCACCGCATCGCCTCCTCAGCAGCCCCGTGCCCCGCGCCCCGCGTCCCGCGCCGCCCTCGACCGCCGACGCTGCGACCCGCGCCGTCTCCTCGCTGCCGTCGCCGCGCCCCGAGTCCCGCGTCCCGCGCTGCCCTCTACCGCCGATGCGGGAGCAGGAGGTCACGCCGCGTCAACACCGCCGAGGAGCCGCTTCCTCGCCGCCGTCGCGACGACCCGCGCCGCCCTCGACTGCCGCCACCTCCGCAGATCGCCATCGCACGCCTCCGCCTCTCAAGGTCACACGCTCATCGCCGCCCGACACCCCGCCGATTGGGGACCGAACGCTGACCCTGCATCGACGCCACAACAGTCGACAGAGGGGAGATGTTGAAGACCTCACTCCAACGACGGCTGCGCGCGGCGACACTACCAGGCACTGAGGGAGAGAATGCGGTGCGAGGTGCGGCGGGGTTGTTCGTCCTTGCCCAGATCAATGCCGCCGCCGATCCCTCACTCGCCCCTCGCCCAAGTCGGCGCCAAGGGCGGGGTTCGCCAATCTGCTTCCCAGCCGCCTCGCCCGCTCCATGGGAGAGGTGACACCTGTGCCCGCCTCCAGCGCTCCATGCCCCCGGATACCATCCGAGCACGATCCCTCCTTAGCTTCTGCCGGAGAAGGGACGCATGCGCCGACCTTCAGCACTCTACGCGCCCTGTGGATAATTGGTTCGTTCTCTTTACGTTGCAATCCATTCATTTGTCAAGAATCATCATTGTGAGTGCCGAGGGTTATTACAGATTGCAGGATCACTAATGCTCTTTTTTGCCCATAAGGTGTTCAACGAAATGCTGCTTAGCCAATGTATTACCAGAAATTGATTTCTCTGTAAGTGAGAATGTCATATTGTCATGTCCCCTATGTTGTTATTTATACTAATGATTGCAGGATTCTCTCTGTTGTTATTTATGCTATGAAGTGCTGGGAAGTTGAGAGTGTTGCTACCAAGCAAAAAGATTCAATTGATCTGTTGGAGCAAACTAATTTGGATCTCGCAGTCTCAAAACTAATCTGGTTCTTGATTGTTTCAGAGTGGATGAAAATAAAAAATGGAATGATGCAGTGAAGATTATGTAAGCAATGTTCGTGATATATCGATCCTGAAATTCTCATAGATGGCCATTGCACAAATACAAAAATTTGCAGGTTATTAATTAGTGAACTACATCTCTGTAAATCTGCATAACATATGTTAAAGCTAGCCCAAGAATTAATATGTTGTAAATCTGCTCTACAGTTGACACTGCTTACATTTTCTACTATTAATAACCCTCAGCTGTGATAGATCTGATACCTGCTTAAAAATTTGAGCTGAGTTTTCATACCTAGCAGTAGGACTAACATTTTATGTTGTATTGTTCAGCTCAAGATGAACAACCACACCAACCCCAAGATCACCAACTAAGCCTATCCTGCTTCATGATTGTTGCTGCAAACTCCAACATGCTTGCTGCTGGTGCAATCTGAGCCGGCTGGTGGCAGATGGGAGCCTGCCCTATGTTGTTAGCAGCTTTCTTCACTCCAAGTCATGCTTGCTGCCTGTGGTCTTGGTAGTTTCTTTTTTGTGTTGTCAATTTAATTATTATGATTTCCCATGTGCTCGGCTATTGGTGTTCTTGTTTTTATCTGTTTTGTTTCAGGGTGTCATTACTATGGAGTAGATCATTTTTTTCTTATTTTTTTTAATGCCTTGTAAAATAACCAACTAGCAGGGATGTTCATAAATTTCTCCCTTTTGTTTGGTTTTTTTCAGACATATATATATAATGAAGGCATATATACACAAAAGGAGGAGCTGTTTGAGGGTCTAAAGGACAATAGCTCAATTGACTGGGAAGCTGTTGTCATATGCTGAGAGCAATCTGCTAAATGTTAAAGAGGTGCATCTAACTTTTGTACCCAGTGAACTGCAAATCTGCACCTTCATTTTTGATTAATAGTTTCTTTGGATTCAGATCAAAATAGCTCAACATGGGAATTTTTCTAGCAGAGGATGGGCAATTCTTGGAAAATACTATATATTTCTTGTCGTTGAATATGATCATGTCCCATTATTTTGGCACTTGCTGCCTTGATTCTGTTGCCTGTCCCAGCCCTTCAGCTAGCTCTCTATCACACATGAATGCGTGACCCTTGATGGTTGTATGCAGTTGGGATATTTTGGTGAGTTCATCCCCCTTCCCCACCCCACCTCTCTCTCTCTCTCAAAACCATCATTTATCTTCACTATTGACTTACAATTTCACTTCTAGCTGATGATGATCAATCAAAGCTAGCTCATATGTATTAGTGAGTTTATGAAAAAAAGGATCAGATATTCAATAACAGAGTCAGCTCCTTCCGAACGATGGCAAAATGGTACCTTTATAATTTTACTTCTCAACACGCACACATTTTTTTATGACGAGTTTGAACTTTTGTTCTCCTTGTCAGATTTTATCTGAAGCAAGTATCATATACTTCTGTATTAGAATATGGACGCAATCATATATCTCCTAAGGTTTAGTGCATACTCTCATATTTGGAAGTGAATACCAAACGTGTATGAAATAGTGCATTCGATTTAATCTATTCTCTCTTGGGCATTTATTCGCAAATGCAAAGATTTTTGTAATTTGATCGTAGCATAGATTATGGCAACCTTGGCTTTGTGGTTTGCCATGTCATGTACTGATATATGAATGTGATGCTTTAATTAACGTTGAAAAGCCATGAATTATGTATTCGAACGAATTGATTGGATGTGTCCTGAAATCGGTTCAGACTTTCGTTCTTTGGGTACTGGCGTGAGACGGGGAAAAAGACGCTGAAGACATCAAGCATAACATGGAGTTGATAAAACATCGTCGACTGAATCATGATTTGTAGTTTTTTTGGATTGCCAGATTTTTTTCAGTGTTCAACAAATTTTCACTCAATAATTATTTAATATCTTTTCACTTAATATAATTTGAAATTGATATATAGCATTTCCCGTTGCAACGCACGGGCACCTTACTATACTTCAAATATGTATCCGTATACTTAATTTTTTTTGAAATGGAACTAAACACGGCCTGTATTCGTTGCTGCTAGCAAAAACGACGTTCCCAATAATTTGGGCAGAGCTTTTGCAATAGTACTACTCTCTCCCTCCGTTTAAAAAGAGCGTCTTTTTTAGCCTGATTTGTCCCATAAAAGCTGTTTTTTATGATTGTGGTTGAGAATTAATCCTCAGCATGAAAAACAAAACGACGAATTACCGTATGATCGATTAAGTATAAGCTAAAATATTTAAAAATTAATTAATATGGTTTTCTAAAACAATTTTTCTATATATTTTTTTAAAAAAACACACCGTTTAGCAATTTCAAAAACATGAATACGGAAAACGAATAAGTTGAAGTTGGAAACATTGACTATCAAATACAAACTTGAGCAGAAGACTATTAAAATCCGAATCTTAATCTGAAAAAAGGGCCTAGAACAGATCAAGATCTATTTAGGATTCAGATTTTACCTCGATTTTTGTTAACACGCTTTTCAGACTACTAGACAGTATGTTCCGTGCGAAAATTTTCTATACAAAAGTTGTTTTAAAATATCAAATATATTCCTTTGTCAAGTTTATAATAATTAAAACTTAATTAATCAT